AGTAACACTATCCCCACTGTATAGATAAGGAAGCTGCACATGACGATGAATTTTAGAAGCAGATCGGTGTGGTGTACCTCGACAAAGTCAGGGCTGAAGATCTGTTATCAAGGTGGTGTTATCGATGCTCCACTCAGACACCCTTGAATACTTTTTGTGGACCCTCCCTCAGCATCTGTGTGCTTTTGCTTCTAACTCTCTGAACCTGTAACTCTTAGAAGGTGGACCCCTGAGCTATTGACCCACTTTGTCCACACGGACAGAGCCAGAAGTGCCTGGAAGTTTCCCCCAGCCCTCTAAAGAGCCCTTATCCAAAGACTGACGGGCGTGGAATTAGGAAAGCCCAGTACTCTTCCCTCCAGTGGGGACAAACTCTGAGTTGTGATTTACACTCTAGAACACTTTTGTGGGGACAGAGGCTGGAACTTTGCTGAGATCTCACTCTGTGTGGCTTTCTCCTCTCTCCCATCCTGCTTCCCCGTCCCTTATCAGTTCTCCTGGGAGCATTTTCTTAATAAATCGCCTGAATATGAATCTTCCTCTCAGGGTTGGCTTTCTGGAAGCCCAATCTAAGATAATTCTCTTGACCCAACATTAATGATGACATTTCGTATATTTATTAGGTGATACATTCTCCCAGATTCCCTTAGTTCCAAACCTTCCCTTTCGAGTCTCCAGACCTAAATATCTATGTTTTCTGTGTCTGCTCCTATGCCCTTAACTCTTCGCTCTCTATTCTCAAAGCCTCTCTTTCTCTTGGATTATGATGTTCCAACTCTTTCTGGAAAAATCGTTGCAATTTCTCCAGCTATGTGGAAGGCACTGAACCAGGGAGCTGCTGTGGGAGATACAGAGATATATTTACAACTATGGTCTTTCACAATGCACTGACAGTCTAGCAGGGGACAACATACAAACAGCAGAGGTAGACGAGGTGAGAAGAGCCACGTGTGTGCGCGCAATAAAAACTGTAGGCACAAACAACTCTCAGGGTGGTCCCCAAAAATAAAACTACTCTCCAGTCATTCTCTACACCATACAATTTTGACTCATTTTACTTAATTTTTGAAGCTGAAGCTTCTCTCAAATGTTTGAGAAAATGAAAGTCAGCTATGGTAGAGATAATCCAAATGAGTGGATAATCCAGTAAAGAGGAGCTTTTATTTAAATCTGCTTTGCATTATTCTTTACAGTAGCACCACAGGAAGCTGTTTCAGAAAAAGTTAAGTAATTTATTGCAGGAAAACAGCTAATTAATGACAGAGCATGAATTTAATCTTAAGTCGGCCTGACTCTTTACAACCTCAGTTTCTGGCCGGGTGCAGTGGCTTACACCTATAATCCCAGAACTTTGGGAGGCTGAGGTGGGTGGATCACCTGAGGTCAGGAGTTCGCGGCCAGCCTGGTCAACATGGTGAAACCCTGTCTCTACTAAAACTACAAAATTAGCTGGGCATGGTGGTGCAAGCCTGTAATTTCAGTTACTCGGAAGCCTGAGGCAGGAGAATCACTTCAACCCGGGAGGTGGAGGTTGCAGTGAGCCAAGATTGTGCCACTGCGCTCTGGCCTGGGTGACAGAGCGAGACTCTGTCTCAAAAAAAAAGTTAAAAAGTAAATAAAACCTTGGTTTCTTTATCTGTAAAATGAGGCTAATGATTCTTACTTGCAGAATTGTTGTTAAACAAAAATAATGCACCCAACATATAGAAAATACCTGATACAATACGGACCACATGGTAGGTGGTTGTTATTATTATCGTTCCCAGATTTATAACATGATTGAACCAGAGGTATTTTGCATGCACATTTTAAAGGCTTCTAATGTGTACTACTAAACTGCTTTCCAGAAAATGGTTAAGCAAAGCCCTAAGAAGACTGCTAGGAAGATCTGTCTAAAATGAGACCTGATCATGCCTCCCCACTGTTTTCAGTATCAATCTTAAACACATGGGACCACTACTACTTCTTTAGAGTAATCGCCCTCTTCTACCACATTCACTTCCTTCCAAATTATTTCCTGTTCTCTCAGCTCTTTTGTGCCTTGGCATCTTCCAATATATAGCTCAGTCATCAGGCATGCCCTTTCCGTGTGTCTGTGCTAAGTCTTACCGGTATTTAATATCTCACTCTATTCCAGCTGATATAACAAAATATCATAGACCGGATGGCCTATAAACAATAGACATTTATTTCTCCCAGTTCTGGAGGCTGGAAGTCTGAGATCAGGTGCCAGCATGGTTGGGTTCCGGCGAGGGCCCTCTTCTGAGCTGCAGACTGCAACTTCTCACACTGTTCTCACATGGTAAGGAAGATGGGAAGTTGGCCGGGCGCAATGGCTCACGCCTGTAATCCCAGCACTTTGGGACGCCAAGGCGGGTGGATCACGAGGTCAAGAGATCCAGACCATCCTGGCCAACATGGTGAAACTCCGACTCTACTAAAAACACAAAAATTAGCTGGGCATGGTGATGCGTGCCTGTAATCCCAGCTACTTGGGAGGCTAAGGCAGGAGAATCACTTGAACCCGGGAGGCGGAGGTTGCAGTAAGCCAAGATTATGTCACTGCACTCTAGCCTGGCGACAGAGCAAGATTCCACCTCAAAAAAAAAAGGAAGTTTACTAGGGCCTCTTTTATCAGGGCACTAATCCCATTAGAGTCCTCAAAGGCCCTATTTCCTACTCTCATCCACTTGGGAGGTTAAGTTTCAACATAATGAGTTTTAAAGTGACACAGTTACGTCCATAGCATTCCAACCCTGATTTTCCCAGCTCATATCCTTCTCACATGCAAAATACACTCATTCCATTCCAACAGCCTCAAAAGTCTCAACTCGTTCTAGCATAAACTCAAAGACAGAAAGTCCAAAATCTCATGTAAATATCATGTAAATCAGATATAGCTGAGACTCGGTATCATTCATTCTAAGACAAATTCCTCACCAGCTGTGAACCTGTGAAATCAAACAGGTTACGTGCTTCCAAAATACAATGATGGGACAGGGGCATGACAGGTGTTCCCATCTCTAAAGGGATAGGCTGAGAATGTTCCAAATCTTTACGTTCTCTGCTTTTGACTCGCAATGTCATCTTAAGTCATAGTCCTCCTCTCAAATTTTACTATAAGTGGTCGAGAGAAACTAGGCCACTCCTTTAAACTTTGCTTAGATATTTCCTCAGCCAAATATCCCATTTCATCACTCTCAGGTTCTACCTTCTACAAAGGACTGCTGTAAGCACAACTCAGCCAAGTTCTTTGCCACTTTATAACAAGGCTGGCCTTTCCTCTCGTGTCTAATAACAAGTTCTTCATTTTCATCTGAGACCTCATCAGGAAGGCTTTTATCATACATATTCCTACCAATGTAGGATGACTTACGTCTTGTTTAAGACTGAGGCCTTCTCTACAGCTCTTCTGTTCTCCTTCTGAGCCTTCACCAGAACCACCTTTAAAAGTCAGTTCATGGCAATGTAGGCTTTTTCTAGCATGTGCCTCAAAATTCTTCCAGCCTCTACCTATTACCCATTCCATAGCTACATCCACATTTTTAGGGATTTATTACAGTGGCACCCCACTCTGGGTAACAAATTCCGGATTAGAGTTTAACATACAAGATGTTATACTGAGGTGGAGTAAAAGGCCATCCAAAGGGCTAAATTTCGATATTTTCTCCAAGCCATAGTCTTGTGTGAATCACTATGAGTTTGGATAGCACATTATTCTCATGGATTTTAGTGGCTGGTAGAAAATGAGAGGAAAACAAAGATAACAATGAATCTAGCCTGCAGAGATAACCCCACTTGGTATCTTAGCCAGAGTTCCCAATTATTTCCCCATCAAACCTCTAGTGTTCATTCCCTCTCCCTTCCCTATTCTTGTCCTGTCTCAACCCCATCTGTCAAGAGGCTAGCAGGAACATAGTACCATAGAAAGGTTCAGGCATCAAAAATAAAGTTCAAGTGGGAACTTCGCCACCCTGCGACCTTGGGAAGTTGGCCACTTCTTTTGTTTTTTAAAGTGGGAAAGCAGTTTCCTCCCTGCCTATCTGTATTAGGTCATTCTTGCATTGCTAAAAAGAAATATTTGAGACTGGATAATTTAAGAAGAAAACAAGTTTAATTGGTATATGGTTCTGCAGGCTATGCAAGCATGGTGCCAACATCTGCTTGGCTACTGGGGAGGCCCCAGGGAGCTCTTACTCATGGCAGAAGGTGAAGCAGGAGCTTGCATGTCACATGGCAAAGCAGGAGCAACAGAGAGAGAGACAGTTGGGGGTGAGGTGCCACACACTTTTAAATGACCACTTATTATAAGAACTCACTCACTATGGTAAGTACAGCACAAGCCATGAGGGATGGTGCTAAGCCATTCATGAGGATTCACCCCCATCAGCCAATCACCTCCCACCAGGCCCACCTCCGAAACCAGGGATTACAATTCAACATGAGATTCGGGCAGTGACAAATATCCAAACTATTACCATATCACTATCCCATGGGAAGTGGCTCAAATGAGACAGCAGATGTGAAAGTGAACAGTGATGCTATACACCAATGTAAACACACCCTCCTCATTGCCAAGGGGGGCAGGACAAGAGGGAAATGAGGATTGGACAGGCTCCACAGTGGAACTGGCTCTGTGAGGGACCAGTGGCTGAGGAGCAGCTCTTTGCAGAGAGAGGCCAGTAAAGGTTCCAGACCCTTGTGCCCACATGTAAAAGAGCTGGGCAAAGTGGCAAACCCTCTCTCCCAGAGGCCTCCCTTAAATGAACTTAAGTGATACCCCAACAAGGTGGAATAGCCCCTCTGTCATCTAGTATTTTTAAAACTGTCCTCAAGAAGCTGACGAACTCTGTTTCTCAAATCTAAGGGCCCACTGCTGATCCTCATGAATATTAAAAAACAGCTACAATAGTGCTAACAAGGCAGGGCCTGGAGTTGGGGTCTAGGGTGGGGGCAGATCTAGTACTCTGCAGCCTGTCGCCTTTTGTTCACTCACTCACCTTGCAGCTCCTGGCTCCTCAGAGGACCTGCAACTCTTCACACCTGGAGGGTACTTTGGCCACTGGTGACTTGAATTCCACCTGGGAAATACACAAGAGATGCATCACACCTTGTTTTCCACTGAGGGTTACAACAGAAGTGGCTTTATGGGAATTTTGGGAAAACAGGGGAAACATTCCTCCTGCCACATTGCAGTGTTCTGGAAGAAAACAGGCCTAACTCATCCTCTTCCAGGTTCTGGAGAAGAGGAGGGAAGATGAAGGAACAGCAGTGAAAAGTCTGCTTAGTGGCCCTGAATCCAGAGGTTATGTCCAGCTTGATGGGAGCAGGCCCTTGTGCATGAGAAGGGCGTAGCCTCAGGGTTAATTGGACACTGCCCCCCACAGAGCTCCAGCTCCAAGCAAGTGCTCTTGAAATTCTTTCCATCCAAATCCACAGATGCTGTCTACGCCATAGGAGCTCACCTTTGAAGACAGCAATGTAAGCACTATGGCAAGAATCACTGCCCTCCCTAAGAAAGAAATGCAGTAGGAGGTACAAGAAAGCCTAGGGGCTACATAAGGAGGGAAAGCTGAAAGACAATGGAGGAGGGACAGGCTTTGGCACAGGGAAAGGATGGGCTTCCTCGCACAGGACAGTTTGGGAGTGTTATGACTGAACCTGGAAAGCAGTTTTACAGAATGCTTTGGCCACATGTTAAGTAGCATGGTCTGAGAACGTGCTTGAAATGACTGAAGGGAGTAGTAGTGATTACAAAAAGGGGATTGGGACTATCTACTGTATAACGCCAAAGCTCAAACCACAGCTAGACCTGGAAGTACAGATGTACATCACCAAGGAATCTGGCCTCTGTGCCTCTCATATGCACAATTCATGGGAGGCAAATTTTCATCAGGTGTTTCCTATCCTATATGAGGTAACACAGCGCTTGTCTTCATTCATTTGTTCAATGAATATTCACTCTGTGCAGGCACTTTTGTTAGGTGCCAAAGGCAGCAACAGGCAAATCCTGCAAGGTATTGTCCTTGTGAGCTTATATTCCAGTGGCCAGTTATTTCCAGAGACAAATAAAAATATGCAGACCAAATAAGCACTTTTAGATAATGAAAAATGCTGGAGCGAAGTAACTCCCTCTCTAAGCCACCTGTTGGCACCCCTGTCCCCTGACCCACTGGCATTGCTACCAGGATGCTGGAAGCAAACAAATGGGGAGACTTCACTCTCTGGTGTTTTCCCAGGCAGCAGCCCTCAGCAAAGCCAGCGCAGTGGGAAAACAGGAGAGGAAAGCTGCCCTGTCTTGTCCCCACTGCTGACACCTGGGAAACTCATTTAGAAAAAAATTGTTTAGACTATAAATAAGATGTGAACAGTGTTATTTCTAGATGGTAACCTTAAGAGATGATTTTTATTTTCTTCTGAATTTTCTGGTATCTTTGTTATTACAATGCATTGTTTGGCATTAAGGAGAGAAAAATATTTTTTAATGAGAAGATTGGCCTAGCTAAATTAAATTAATAAGGAATACATTTGGACAAATAGGCAGGGGCCAGATCTTAGGATGATGAACAGCATCTTACCATATCTCTTTATGGTTTACAAAGCAATTTCACAAAAACATCTCCTTCAACCCTTACAAGACTTTCTTGAGGTTACATAGAAAATGCAGGAGAATGCCTGACCCTCAGGTCCCTGACTTCTAGGCCAATGTATTTTCCATTATTCCACTGCCCATCTGTAGCAGACCTTACTTCTCTTTACAGCTGAGGAATTCAGAAAGCCACAGAGCCCCAGATCTGAACTCTCTTCTCCCAACCCTTGCCATCTCCTAGAGTGACCATGCTAATTAATTCATGCATTTATTGATCTAGTCTTTACGGATCCCCTGCCAGGTTCCAGGCACTGGGTGCACGGGATATGGTGAAGAAGCAAATAGGTCTCCCAGCGGGTTGGGGGAAACGCTTTAATAAATGAGTGAATATATGATATAAATCATGGTAACTGCAGTAAAAGGAAAGTAAAGAGTATTATCTGAGCGGCTAGTATGAGAGGGAGCTAATTTGGACTGTGGCACTAGCCCTTCACTCGATATCCCAGCAAGACACTGTCACTGAGTACAGCCAAGGTAAGTAAGACAGCCATTCTAAGATGGAGGCTGAGATTACAAGAGACCAGCCTGCGTCTCAAAGGGTGTGTGTTTTGGATGCCTAGACAGCTTGCAAAGCCACATGAAAAGTTAATGAAGAATATCACACATACTTATAGTAATGAAACAGCTCCCTTAAACCCAGTCTGGAACAAGTTACAGTTTACCAACCAGAGAGGTCAACAGAGATGTCACAAGTCCACATATGATGTCCCAAGTCCACAATCGTCACTGGGAGAGGTCACAGAAGGCCAGGAATGTGAAAGTAAAGGTTAAACTAAACAAAAATATGTAGCTAACAGTAAAAGGGGACTTCAAAAAGTTCATAAAAATGGAATTAAAATATGAAAATTACAAATACAAACTTGATTTCCCAACATAAGTTCCATCATGCTCGATACGCTTTTTTAAGCAATGACACCAGCCATGTAGTCCATCCCTAAAGAAATGAGGGTCCTGGAAACGTAATCATGTCAATGCCATCTTTTTTGCATTATTAACTGAAGAAAAATGAGTGCCCTTTAAATATTTAAGATTAGAAAACAAAAAGAAGTCAGAAGGAGCCAAATCAGGACTGTAAAGTGGATGCCTAATGATTTCTCACCCAGCCTCTCATGAAATTGCCCTTGTCTCAAGAGAGAAATGAGCAGGAGCATTGTCCTGCTGGAGGACTCTCTGGTGAAGCTCTCCCAGGTTTTTTTTTTGGGGGGGAGGCGGGGTGGGGGGTGTTTTTCTTCTAATGCTTTGGCTTTCTCATAATAAATGCTCTCATAATAAGCAGATGTTACTGTTCTTTGGCTCTCCAGAAAGTCAACACGCAAGATGCCTTGAGCATTCCAAAAGACCACTGCCATGACATCTGCTCTTGACTGGTCCACATTAGCTTTGACTGGACCACTTCCACCTCTTGGTTTGATTGTGCTTTGTTTTCAGGATCACACTGAAAAAGCCCTGTTTCACCTCCTGTTACACTTCTTCAAAGAAGTCCTTCAGGGTCTTGATCCCACTTGTTTGAAAGTTCCATTGAAAGCTCTGCTCTTGTCTGCAGCTGACCTGGGCAGAAGGGTTTTGTCACCCATTGAGTGGAAAGTTTGCTCAAGTTTAATTTTTCAGTCAACATTATGTAAGCTAAACCAGCTTAGATGTCTATGGTGTTGGCTATTGTTAGTTCTGTAAAACATTGGTCCTTTTTAATTAGGGCAGAAACAAAATGAACCTTTTCTTTGCAAATTGATGCGGATGGCTGCTATGGGCTTCATCTTCAATATCATCTCATCCCTTCTTAAAATGAGCTGTCCATTTGTAAATGCTGATTTCTTTGGGGCATCGTCCCCATGAACTTCTTGTAAAGCATCAATAATTTCACAATTCTCCTGCCCGAGCTTCTCTACAAATTTGATGTTTGTTTTTGCTTCAATTTTAGCAGAATTTGTGTTGCTTTGATAGGGGCTCTTTTCAAACTGATGTCTTATCCTTCTTACTGACTCAAACTAGATCCTGTTCAGATGTTATACCAAGTTAATATGCGTTTATTTTGGTGCTAAAACAATTTTGAAATCCTTGTATTTTTTTCAATAATATGCATTTTCCATGAACTTTTGGGAGACCCTTTGTACAAGGCAGAACACTTCAGTGTCTAAGTGGATGGCACAGGCGTTCAATGCCACAGGACTGTAGATGGGGAGAGGACAGGAGCTGAAATGTCAGGAAAGGCTTCTGTGGAGCGAGTGGGATTTAAACTGGGCTTAGAGAGTGAATGGGATTTGGATGCTCCTCAGGGTAATCCCATTTAGCAAGGCCGCGAGCAATGCCCAGGAAACCCGCAGCAGTTGGTGGGCTTTCTCTTCCAGGTGCTGGTGGCTGGCTTCCTGGCCTCTCGCCTGTCCTGGGACCGGAGAGTGCGCCTCTACCCCCTCCATCACGTCTGCTGGTTTCTAAGTGTCTCTCTAACAATGCTCTGAAGACCCAGGAGTGCTGCTGGCCACCAACGCTGAACATGAAGACTGATTTCAGCACCGGGCAAGCTGGCAAATGCTGAACACACCTGGTTAATTAGCTCGTCCGCACATTGGGCTTTTACTGTAGTATATCCGTATGCAAAACTCAAATACTTCCAGGTGCTGGGACCCAGTGGGGACAGAACATTCAAGTCAGGTTATGTTCTCAGCTGCCATTTGATATTGCAGGCACCACCACTGCGATCTGGGCTAGGGTAAGCTCCCTGGACACACCATCAACTGAGCGGTAACAACAGCAATAACCATAAAATGATGAGAGCACACTTTTACATGGTGCTGCAGAGTATACAAAGGATTTCGTAATTTATGCCTATCAATTATGAGTCAACATCTTATTTGTAATACACCTACATCATTATATGGCTTTCAAAGATTATGCTATTTTATTTGTCATAAGAACATGCCAGTAGTTATAGATCCTGGTGGACAGCTGTGGCGGGCTGGGCCTAGGGATGCCAGATGTCTCCCATATACTCCTCCATGTGACACTTAGTCACCCTCAATGACACCTCCATCTCCAAAGCATTCCAACTCACTGGTGTGGCCTTTGAATGGATGAAGAGAGCCTTAGACGAGGCTCAGGATCCCGTGCTCAGTTCCCATGTGACTCTAGATGGATCTCATTCTGTCTTAAGAACACCAGGCTTTGGTTTTAGACAGCCCTGGGTTCAAGTCCCAGCCCTGCCACTGCCTACCTGTGATCCTCAGGAAGTTATCTATCTTCTCTGGGCCGATTTCTTCTGTGTTAAACGTGGACGATAATAGCACCTCTCTCATAAAGTTGTGGTGAAGATAATAAGACACACAGCACATATAAAGTGCTTAGCACAGGGTATGACCCATACTTAGTGCTTTAAGTGCTAATTATATCATTATTATTATCATGACAGGGGGACAGTACAGTGCTGTTCCCTCGCCT